TGTGGCTGTTCAGTCTGCAGTCCCAGGGACCGCAGGAGCCAGGGGAGAACGGCTCTCGTGTGCCTGGCAGTATGTAGCTTGGCCTTACCTCTGGCCTGTCATTATTGGGAGGAACCTCTGGCCTAGGTGGCATCGTGGGTTTTCTATTGTAGGACAGATGGGATTCTTTGCTCAGCTTTTTCTCCTGCCTTGAAGCAGAGGAGGTACTGGATTTTCTACCGGTGACCAGGACAAGTACGCACATTCTCGTTCTTGAGCTGAATTCATTTTGTGCTTTATTTCCTCACTGAAGAGGAGCAGGTCCCTTGATTATGGGCGCAATCCTGTGGCCCTCTGCGTTTCAGAGAGTTGTAAAGGGCCCGGTCTCATGTTTCTTGGGTCTCCTGATTCCTTGAATGGTGATACTGGGGGAGCGGGGTAAGCAAGCGTTATAGCCCCTCTCTATATCATATGCTCCAGGTCCTGGTGTATTCTCTGAAAGAAAAAAGGAGTTTAAATGTTGGTATTTCCATTTGCATGGGCGTTCTGTAAATCAAGTGCTACTGCTTGTCAAGAGATGGATCCTAAAACCTGGCTGAGGCACAGAACTTGTTCAGCAGTGAATATTCTGGCTGCTTCTGCTAGTAACGGCACCCCGCAGGAGCGCCAGCTTAACCTGCTGGTGAAGAGCTGCTGCTCGTAGACTAAAGGGGCATTACACGCCCTACTGATAGCACCTTCCCGAAGGAAAGGCAACTTACTTGGGATGGCAAACCTGTCAGTAAGAGGTGTCCCTGCCCATTATGGATGGCATGGATTGGGGTAGGGACGCAAGTACAGCTGTCGAAGCAAGGTGAGGAGGGAGCGAAAGGTTTATCTTTGCTTATTCAAAATGAGCTTTTTTTGGCAATACTCTTAAGGAAGGCCTTGCAAACACTGTCTTGGGGAGCTCATCCCATGTGGATGTAAGGAAGCTAAGCTCAGCTGTAGCACATTTACCTATTTAACCTCTGGAGAGGTCCCTGTGTGTTTCGGGCTTGATGCTTGAAATGGTGCTTCATAGTGTTTGACACTTGGTTCTCGCACCTGAAAGCTCTGGCTGTTACAGTGGTACAGCTTGGGGGGTGTGGGTAGAACCGAAGTTCTCCAAAGATCCTGGGAAAACCTTGTTCTATTTCCAGCAAAGGCTGGATTTTCCCTTGGGGCGGCACAGCGCAAGGGATGATGTGTGGTCTTTCAGGCTCTGGAAAGCTCTATTAGAAGTGAAGTGAAATTATCCTGGTAATAAGAATGCTTGAGCCGACTGAGGTTATTACTAAAAGCCCTACTAACAGCAGCATTACGATTGCGGTTTCCTTCAGCCCTAACAGAGCGTCCTGGGAAAAAAGTCATGAATGTTAATTTAGGTCCATTTTTTCCAAAGGGAAAAGGGATCAAATTCCTCCCAAGATGCTGAGCTGTATGAGCCTTGGTCTCAGAAAAATGTTGCGCAAGGTATGTTTTCCTCCTCCACAAAGCGGTGACAGTACTTGATCACCTTTTTTTCTTGCCAGTGTCTCTTGAGTTTTGCAAATAACTCTCAAAAGTTATTCTTACAGAGTACTTACAGCCCAAAAGGAAAACTACCTGGCTGGAGCTCTGCTACAGCGAGCAGGACTCCAAAGCGGTGTGCACTGCAAGAACTGGGGGAGGGAAAAAAGTAGTTCTGCTACTACTTCTAAGGGGTGTGTAGGAGAGAGTAGGGTACATGCGCTAGCTGGGCTGCGAAAATGCATTGGATGGGGTCTGGATTATTTACCGGGATCTGCCCGAGTCCTTTGTAGGAAGAAGCCAGCGCAGCAGGAGGGTGAAGCTGGCTGCAGTGGGGAATTGTCTGCTGCTGGGTCAGACATACCAGGTGCTGAATGAGCTGGAGCCTCTCTAAAGAGGAAAACTCAAGTCTCCAAATAAATTCCATCCCAGACTGAATGGGAGGAGGTGAGCACCTGTAGTAATGTTTATTTCTAAAGTGTATGCAAGTAATGTGTTATTTTCCAGTATACAAGGCACTGCAATTCCTAAGCAGCTGTAGTTGAAGGCTACTTGGATGCAGAGCAATTCCGAGCTGGTTTGGTAAAACTAAACCTTTGTGTTTGCTCTGGCTTAAGCCAGGAGTGCGGCTTGGGCTGCGTCTTCAGCGCTGCCTCTTGGCACGCAGCAGAGTCATGCTCTAGGAACGTTACCTCATGCTGCTTGTGAAGCACAAAATGTACATTGTGTTAGCAGTGGGATCTTCAGAAATCACCTCTATCTGCACATGATTTAACAACAAACTGCTGCTTCGACAAGACTTCAGTTTCATATCTGCTCTGCTTCTGTTAAAGGACCTACTAGTAAAGCAGGTAGAACTTCACAAAGGTGGACCCTGGGAAAGGAGAAGTCTCCTAGCCTGTCCCTGCAAGATCCAAAAGGCCAGGTCGGCATCAAGGCCAGCCAGAAGAAACTGCACATCACATCTGTTTTCCACCGTGGTCCTGCTGGCTGAAACGTTTAATGGAGCAACAACTCTAATTTTACAGTGAGCTCGTGGGTGGGAGGGAGATGCTCGATGGCACCAAGGGAGTTGCCAGGATCTTTGGAGAAAGGCTGGGCTGGCAGTTTAGCGGAGGGTAGGTGACTGCTGGAGGGGGGGATGTGCGGGTGGAGGAGTTCAGGCTGACCGGTGCGCTTAGGATTTCTGAGCAGATCCGCTTTCGTCCGTTGTTCCCTGATGAAATGCGGGTACATTGCTCCGGTGACTTGAGGGCCACGGAGGTTGAAGACCAGCTGTAGTGAAATAAGGAAAAGCATAACACACACAAAAAAATTAGCTTTTACCAGATGAAACAGCCATGGCAGACACCAATTTTACAGTATGTCCCAAGCCGTGACTGTCAGTGTGGAGGGAGGAGATGGACGCTTATTCCTAAAGCAAAAGTGACCAAAGCCTGACCCAGGGGTCCCTGGAAATTGCGGTTCCCTGCGGAACCCACAAGGTTTTGCCCACAAACGGTTATGGGTCTGTCTGCTCCTTTATAGCATGGGCTGTACCTTGGGCAGCTTTGCCCATGGTCCAGGCCCTCGCTGGCCTGCCTCGGCTCCCCGCCTGCCCCAAGCCCTGCACACAGGCCCTGCAGGATTTGGTGCAGCCTCTTCAGCTGATAGAAGCAGAAAGCAGGAGAGTTTGTGGCTTTGCTCTTTCATTTGCTTTTTCTCCTGCTGTTTGTAGGGCCTTTTTCTGAGGCAACCAGGGAATAAAACAGAAACAAGGCTGAAATCCCAGACACTTGCCATCTTTAATTCCTCGGCTTGGAGTTGACCAGGTTTCAAGCTAGGAACAGTGCTTGGATGCTCTCTGAACCAGGGTCAGGTGTGGTTCCTCATGCTCTGTAACCTGGCACCTTCCCCACCTCTCAAAGGACCCAGTTGCGACAAACTGTGTTCCTGGCCTGTATCAGAAATAGTGTGGCCAGCAGGAGCAGGGAAGGGATCGTGCCCCTGTACTCGGCACTGGTGAGGCCGCACCTCGAATACTGTGTTCAGTTTTGGGCCCCTCACTCCAAGAAGGATGTTGAGATGTTGGAACGTGTCCAGAGAAGGGCAACGAGGCTGGTGAGGGGTCTGGAGAACAAGTTTTATGAGGAGCGGCTGAGGGGGCTGGGGTTGTTTAGCCTGGAGAAAAGGAGGCTGAGGGGAGACCTCATCGCTCTCTACAACTACCTGAAAGGAGGTTGTAGCGAGGGGGGGGTCGGTCTCTTCCCAAGTAACTGGCGAAAGGACGAGAGGAAACGGCCTCAAGTTGTGCCAGGGGAGGTTTAGATTGGACGTGAGGAAAAATTCCTTTACTGAAAGAGTGGTTAAACATTGGAACAGGCTGCCCAGGGGAGGGGTTGAGGCACCATCCCTGGAAGTATTTAAAAGACGTGTAGATGAGGCGCTTAGGGACATGGTTTAGTGGGCATGGGGGTGTTGGGTTGATGGTTGGACTCGATGATCTCAGAGGTCTCTTCCAACCTTTATGATTCTATGAAATTCTGATGAGTTATGGGGGGGGGGGAATCTTCCGTGACGAGTGGTCACAGGCTGCAGTGGGGATGTGGTGGGGTCTCCATCCTTGGAGACACAGAAAGCTCAGCCTGATGCTGTCCTGGCTGCGTGTCGGGCGGATGGTTGGGTCCCAGCTGAAGTTGTGCAGCGGTTCCATGACAAAGCTGCATGAATGCTTACGTTGCCTGAGGTAGGACAGCCTGGCAGAGGACTGCAGCACCCCTTTCAGCAGCAATTTTAGTTTAACAAGGTTTAAAGTGTTTGTTGACCCTGGTGTTGACCCCCCACTTTGGTGTGAACCCCAGGGGTCTCGGGAGCCATCAGCCTCGTGGGTGCCCGGGGCTGTCCTCTGTACCAGTGCGCGCACACACGCTGTGGGTTTTCCCCCACTTGGCAGTGCTGGAAATAACTGGAAAAAGGATTTCTTTTGCTTAAGGGGAATTCTCTTGGGGCAGGAC